CATTCCTAGAGCAAAATAAACACTCGATGTGGTAAGAAGGAGAAACTGATACTAGCCCAGGATGTTACGTAATTAGTTGCAAAATGCCATCACAAAAGTGATCGGAGGGCAGAGAAGAGACAAGACACTGGGATTAGAGAGTATCGTGGAAGGCTTCACAGGGAAGGGAGGAGAAGGATTTTTGGTTCAGAAGACAAAAGAATACCTGGTACCATATAAAACAACAGACTATGGTCCAGTGACATCTGTCTTTACTGCCTACATTACACATTCTCTTAACAGTCCATTTCCTAATGCTGTTGAATTTTTGCAAAGTAACACAATGAAGATTGACTTGATCGTTGAGTCCACTGTCCAAACAAGACAGTTCTTCCTGTGTCTTGTACAATTCACTGCCGGGTCTCGAGGGGGTTGGCACAGAGCTGCAGCTCTACCCACCTTTTGACATTTTTTTTTTCTAGTCCCCTTGTCAAATTTAACATTTATTTCGTTATTTTAAAAATAGGAAATACAGTCAATCATTCAAATTCAAAAGAGATAATAGGGAATACAGTAAGTTTCCCTCCTGTCCCCATTCCCATTCCTGAAAGCAAACAATGTTGCCTTGCTACTAATTTTCTGCATTTACTTTCATAAATAATCTACACATAGGCCAGGCGCAGTGACTCATGCCTGTAATCCCAGCACTTTGGGAGGCCGAGGCAGGTGGATCACCTGAGGTAAGGAGTTTGAGATCAGCCTGGCCAAAATGAAGAAACACCGTCTCTACTAAAAATACAAAAATTAGCCAGGTGTGGTGGCAGACATCTGTAATCCCAGGTACTTGGGAGGCTGAGGGCATGAGAATCACTTGAACCCGGGAGGCGGAGGTTGCAGTGAGCTGAGATTGTGCCACTGCACTCCAGCCTGGGCGATAGAGCAAGACTCCATCTCAAAATAATAATAATAATAATAATAATAATAATAATAATAATCTACCGCATATATAAGCAAACACATTCACTTTGTTTTACTCAAAGGGTAGCATATAAATATTTCTCTGCCTCTTTTTTTTTGTTTAATTTTTCTTAGGAAAATTCTATATTGGTATATGAAGAGCTTCCTATTTTTTTTTTTTTTTTAAATGATAGATACCTACAGTTTTTAATCCTTCAGATAGCTGAGAAATTTGTTACGAGATGACCTGTCAGCATAAGTACCTAAAAGATCCAATTTTCTTTCCATTGATTCTGGGATAGGAGCCACTAAAAAAGCAACATTTGTGAAGAAAGCTCCTTTACTCTGGAATTACAGGTTTCACTTTCCCCATAAGTCCTTTGTTTCATGCAGGAAACACAGACTTACGGACTTGACACTCTCGGGAGGTTACAGCCACATGCGAATATGTAGTTAACATCTAGGTAACTCAGTTGGCTTACAAGAGTTCACGAACAGCAGCCAAGTAATTTTTTAAAAAGTGACTAAAAATACAGATTCTGAACAAACACCAACAGAAGCATCATCAGCTTTAAGCTGAACCTTAATTTGGTAAATCCTAAACTGCACTTCAATATTTTAAAGATTTTTCATGCAAAAGGAACTCTTTTGAACTAAGAGTCTGCATTCTTTTAAAACTGCTGGGTTGAACAAAAGTGGAACAAACAAGTTGCCTAATCAAACTTGGTCTACGCTAATATTTTGATTCAAGGCATGGCTGCTGCAAAAGCCACTCGGAGGCACTACATTCAACTTCCCAGAGTGACACATTAACCATCATCTTACAACGTCTGTTATCTAACACGAGGCCAGGGCTGGGATAGTGAACATAGAGTAGGCTGCCTCTCTCTGTCCTAGGTCTCAAGTACATATTTTTAGGATGTAAAAAGAATTCAATAAAATCACTATTAATTTGGTGAATAAAGACAAATTCTGAACTGTCTTTTTCAGATATTCCTAGTTAGAGCTACAGGACAAATGCTTAAACATATTAGCACTTAGCTTTTGGAGACCAAGGGGGAGCCTTCCTGCAAGGCTCTGGAGAGCTGAGCCCCTCCCCACCCTAACAGGAGGTGTTGGTGGGTCTGAGAAGCCGTGGAGAAGTAGGTTTCCAGGCAGAGTAAGAAGGATGCTGTGCCAGGGCTCTGCAAGACAGGAAGCTGGAATGGGGTTTGGTCCTGTGACCCAGGTGGGCAAAGTGGGCAGAAGGTGAAGTTACCAGGGCTAATGCAGGAACCTCTGCCTACCTGGGACCCAAGGGTGAACTCCTTCATTTTCCATAGCACGGCTGACACAGTGTTCTTATTATTTAAATCCTGCAGCTCTTCCTTTCTCATATAACCACAGAGGGTCTTTACTCTCTCCCTACTGTCAATGCCTTGGGCTCAGGGCTTTCCACCTGCCATTCATTTCTCATAATATGTCCACAAAGGGGATTGTATAGTTGGCCCTCAGTATCTGTGGGTTCCACATCTGTGGATCCAACCAATGGACCATTGAAAATATTCCAAAAAAATCCCTCAAACAATAGGGAGTAACAATACAAAAAAATACAATAAAAATACAACGGTGTAACAACTACTGACATAGCCTTGACACTGTATTAGGTATGACAAGGAATAAAGAAATGATTTAAAGTATACAGGAGAATGTGCATAGGTTATATGCAAATATTATGCCATTCTATGACTTGAACATCTACAGATTTTGGTATCTGCAGGGAGTGGGGTGGGATTGGGGTATCCTGGAACCAATGCCCTGCAGATACTGAGGGATGACTGTATACCCCATTATAGATAAGAAAACTGACTCAGGTTAAGTCACTAGCACATGGTCACATGATGTGCAGGAACAGAACTTTTACTAAGTACCTACTTCTAAAATTGTTATCATCTCCCATGTTTGTCGCAGAGGGAGTATTGCAAAATGGTTAAGGCTTCACATGGTGGTTAATCTAATACCCTCCAGAATTCAATACAATCTAAGTCAGTCAATCACACAATTGAGGAAACTGAAGGTCAGAGCTGGGTTAGTGAGTTGCCTGAGGTCAGAGAGTGGAGCAACTAGGATCTGACCCAGGTCTCTGGCTCCAAATTGCTGCCTTTCTCACTGATATGCTGGGTCAGCTTGCAGAGAAGCTCAACAACTCAGCAATTCCATCCTGAGAGCCATTTCCTGGAGTGACAGCAAATTTAAACCACTGCAAAAATAAGGTCTAATGCATCTGGCCACTTCAAACTTACAGATCAATTCCAGGGTAGGCTGATGGGACACACAGCAACAAAATACCACACACCTTGTTTTTAAGCTCCCTTGAAGGTGGCTTCAAATGGACAATTGGTCTTGCCTTTGGCATGCTTCTGGTACAAGTCACCCAATGAAGCTGAAATGGCCTTTAAGACAGGCAGGCAGTTTGAGAAGCTCTGACACAGGGATGATAGGATTGAGACATTCTGGGATCAGGGCCAAGTAGGGAAGACTTGTGATCCCTGGAAAGGCTATAGCCATGAGCCAATCCCAGATTAACTTCCCCCACCTCAGAGGCCTGGCTTCCACTGCTGGGTTTTTCTAGTTTCCTGCCCATGGAGCCCTAGCACAGCAGCATCCCTCTCTACACTGCCTAGAAGTCTACCCTGCCACTCTTCAAACTCTCCAGAGCTCATTTCTCAGCAAATTCTCTGTTGCTGTCACCTGAGTCCCACCTGTGACCAAGTGGTACTCATGAGTAACCCTGACTCTGACCAACTGGAGTTAAACTTTCGACCTGTGGTTCTGCCAAGGCCATTCTTACGGCAACTGGAATGTGCTTCTATTGTCATTGCATGGAGGTGGAAGCTGGAGAGAAGGGGAAACAGTCAGTTTTGGACCCTTTCTCTCACTCTTCGTAACAATACTGGAAAGTAACATCTGGCGCGCTTCCCAGTCCATGTAAGATTGCAGTCAGCCCTTCTGCTGACAGACCGGGCACAGCAGCACAGACTCTCAGCTTTTCCAGCAGAAATGGGTGCAAACAGCAGATTCTGGGAAGTTCCCTTTGTACTTCTGTGCCCAGTGCCCAAAGAATGATGGAATCCCTATCATTCCAGCAGTGGAGACTTGGGAAGATATTAGGGATTTCTGAAAAGCAGAGAAATTGCATTCAGTGTAATCTAGTTTAAAAAGAATAGGCTTCAGCCAGATCCCAATTTGAATCTCAGCTCTGTCATTTAGTTTGTGTGATCTTGGTCAATAGAAACTAGACCTCACTGATCTCTTTAACTCATCTATAAACTAGAGATATTATCTTCCTCATAGCTTCATTGTGAGGATGACCAAAGGTCATCTTAAGAGGTGTCAGCCATGTCCTTTCTTCTCTTGCATACTTTTAAGTGTACCTCTCCTTCTCACAGCCTCCCCAAACCATAGGTGATTTGTCCAGATGTCCATCACTGGTCCAAGTATATCTGTGAACTAAAAGATGGCTAGGCCATTTTAGACATTACAAGATGATAAGAAAGGCAGGCCAGGAGAAAAAAAATATATATGTAAAACAAATCTGTAAAGATAAGCAGATACAAGACTACAAAGCCCCACAAAGAGGGCAAGCTTTGTCAAATGGGACTTTGGCCCCTTGCAAGATTTGCCAGATCCCATAGCCATTATATTTTGGCTTATGTGTGTTGGAGTTTGCCTATTTATGGCAACCAACAGACAGTATGTGAAGTACTCAAGCACCTGCTTCTGTCTCAGGTGTTGGACTCATGGGAGCTACTATTTCAAAACCTCTCACTCACAACTTACTGCTATGTGCTTAATTCCTGATGTCACTAATGTAAGCAGATACTCCATGGCACTATCTGAATAACTACGGTTTTAAATTAATCAAATTAGCTACAGTGTTTGATGAATAATTTCTATGGTAACTACAGATGAAGCTCGAGACAGAGAACATGCTCTTCTACTTTTTTGTGTAATTCTTCACACTAAATAAATGCCTCCTTGACGAGTGGAGAAAAAATAATTATAATATTCCATTGAAGCTCAGAAATAAAGCAACCTGTTTATTTTTTAAAAAGATAAACATGGCTGATCTGCACTAATCATAACATTTTGAAGGAAATAAAACAATATTCAACATTTCTAGACTACAAATAAATAAAACCCTGTTTTACTTATTCTGTTAACCAAAGATGAAATTGGAAATGAGAAAACTGAATGCTTATGGATTTAAAGGTACCAGACATGGCATTTGATTTTTAGAAAATGAAGACATAAATGGAAAATGGCTATGGCAATGAACTTAAGAATGACATTTAAAAGTTTATACACAAACTTTACATACTTGACAGACTCAAATATTTTTCAAGTCCTTAGTTATGAGAACAGCAGCAAAATTTAAGACAATTAAATATCGGCATGTAAGAATCTGCTGTATTATTGTGAATAAATGCAAAACAACTGTATCAGTGAAGCCTGGGAAAATCTCAATCACTATAATATTCATGCACTGGCTTTACGTTTCGCTTTCAAATGCGTTCCCTCATTCTGGGCACAAACTGGGTAGGTACCTTCATATACAACAGCTTGGATGGGGAACGAGGTCACACCGCATGGCTGTAGAACCAGTCTCGCTGCATTACAGTTACAGCACATCAACAACTCTGCCTAATTAAAACAGCAAAACCAGGCTCAAGTGCACACCCTGTGTTACAAACACATCACATATCAGGATTACAAATCATAGAAATAAAGACAAATAATGGCATGAAGGGCATGATAGTTTATTTTAAAAAATTGTACCACACTGATCATGATGACCAGCATACACATGATAATGGCTTTTCTCTTGGGTTTAACACTGCAGTAGTTTTGCATACTGCAATGTTTCAATAGGACCAAGAACGTTAGAGAATAAAAATCTTAGATGAAAATGAACACTAATAATTCTAGTGTTCTCCCGCATAGAATTAATGTAAACCCCTTATGAATCAGTGGCATTATAATGTTATGTGGTTATGAAGAATGAAAGTTCTCTTAGAAGTAGGCAGCATGAATTTATACTTATATAAGCATAACTTATACTTATACTTCCTTATACTTTCATCTTTAGTTTTTATAATTTAAGCTATGTCCACCCTGGCTAAAGTACAATCATACAATACACCTCAGATAATTTCCATGCTACCATTGCACAAGTTTAGTGATTTTACTATTAAAAAAAAAAAATCAAACCACCATCAAAATAAAGAGGCAAATAAAAGTAATTTTTAAATCATTTGAAAAGCATGGTGCTTATCTGTCCAATACAGACTCAAACTTAAATGCTATAGTTGTAATTTCCAGACTTCTGCAAAATTAACATTTATATATACATATGGGTTTTGTTTATAGAACTGTATTTTGCAATCAACAAGCTTTAGAGAACAATATATTTGGTTACAGTTCCACATATCTGTAGTAAAGACAAAGCCACATAATGTTCATGATGTTAAATCTGGCTCTAAGTAACCTAAGGTACAAAATTTTGACCAAATATCAAAATGATAATCTGATCTTAAAAATTCAACCCATATGAAACTACTTTTTAGAGAGTAAATGTGCTGTTCAGTAATTATTTCAATAACCTTTACTGAGTATCTGCAAACTGATCCTTTTCTTTAATCTTTGTGACTCACCAATATTTCAAAGTGACCTCTTCACTTCTGTGTTACCATTTCAGTACCCAGGGATTTCTGAGGCAGCATAAGTTTGACTTCATAAAAACAGTAGATACTGTAACAGTGACAGTTTTTAAATCTGTAAACTCAATAATCACATTAGTTAGCTCAGCAACTATAAAAACATTGAGATTGGGGCACTGTAAGCCAGAATCTCTTTGTGCTTTTTAAATTAAGCTGCTTTTGAATCTTTTTGGTATTTATCAGCCATCTGTATTTCCCTTATAATAATAAAAGAATATATTTAAAATAAATTTTAAGGTTAAATGTCCTGCGGGGGCTCATCAAGACCTTTTTTTTTTTTTTTTTTTTTTAACATAGTATAAATCAATTATCTTTCTCCTTCAGTATTTGGAATAGCAAAAATTATTTCTGGTCCCTCTTTAGATCAATCAACACCACTTTTCATAACATATAACACTGAAATTTACAGACATCCCTGAAAAGTTTTTAAGTAAACGAGTGAATCACAGTGGAGTCTCAATCAGTTAACAGTGTAGATCCATTTTTTTTTAAAAAACTGAATATTAAAAGAAATCTTCAAGCTAAAAACAAAAACAAAACCCTCCTAAGAACTAAAGCCAAGTGTGTGTTGTCAATGATTCGATACTTTTATCCCCTGACTGATTTAGACTCCTCCTCCTCATGTTGTAAGACATATTTGCTGAAATCTTCACGCCAAGCTTTTGGGACACCTGGGTGAAGAGGCTATGCTACTGTTGCATCTAAGGGAATAGTGGCACCATTTCTTCCCTAATAGACTTCATATCCAAAGATGAGCAATAAATCTCACTCCCCTGCATTTACCAGCATCTTATCAGGAGATAATACTTGCTGTGCAAATTGATGACAGCTGATCCTCCCACCCCACCCCATCCCCTACTGCCAATACGAGGTTATCATCAGTTTGTCATTATATGCACTGGCCTTTCACTCTTTCAATCAGAAAAGCTGTGGCTTACTTTAAAAAGGTGGGGAAGGGACGGGGAGAAATGAAAAACCAAGAGTCTAAAGGCACAAGGTCGCATAGCTGCTCTAGTTGGAGTTTGTAAACAGAGAATAGGTTGAATTTAGGTAATCCCAATCTATGAGAGTAAAAAGGCATCCACAGCAGGCTTTTATCCAGCCAGCTTCTTTGAGACCCTTCATGGGTTTTGAGGTCTACAAAGTATGCACTAAAATACCCATACTTCAAAAAGCAATAAGGCAAATAGTATAATCATTATTCCAAAAGTTACAATGGTAGTGTAGGCATACATAGTATAATTTAGTTACAATGTGTGGTACTGTTTCTATTATATAACCATATTAACTGTTTATTTCCTACATAATTATAAATTCAGCTGGGTTTCAGTTGAACACAAAACCGTCCTTGTACCACCACTGATAGTTGGCAATAGCTCTTTGACAGCAGTTTTTATTCTGCTGTAGAAATTATCCTTGAACTGAAAAAGTCCACAATCCAATGTCCAGTCATTAAACACTATCATATTTGTGAAGAGCTTCTTCCAACTTCTGGGTAACTTTTTGGAAAAATATTATTTGTTGTTGTAAGAAATGCTGCATCTGTGATTTAAAGTCTCTTACTCGAATCTGATGGAAGTGGTGAATTTCAGCCAAAGTGGCAAAAGAAATAGTGTTACAGCGATCCTGAATGCCGTCAGCCTTCTGCACCTCCATCTTCCCTTCCTCCACGTGTCGCCTACTCTCCTTGACTTTGGTAAGAGCTCCTGTAGTTAAAAATAACAATTAATTAAAATCCTATATATCCACAAATCCCAATGACATAACTATATATTAAACAGAATCCTGGGCATTGCAAATAGTTGCCCAAACTACTTTCAATACCTTTGAAATTTAAAGTAAGGACCATAATTACTCATTTTAAAAAAAGAAGGAATCCAGTAAAGTTTCTGAAAACACTCCCTTTGTTAACATTTCTCTTCAAAAACTAGTGTTTGCCATACTGACCAAGAATCTGTAGTATCTCATCTCCTCCAGGTAGAGATGCTATACATAATTGATAATAAACTGAAAGGAAATGTCCTTTAAAAGACGCAACAAGAAAATGCAGTTTTCACACGCTTAAAAGGTGTGACATCATTATTTCCACATATATTAAGAGAATTACACTGTTTATAAAAACATCCCGTAAAGGATCCAGACCCACTTCCTCAGAAAGTCTCACTAAATAATTAAGACTCTAGAACCAGTCTCTGAAACAAGTTAGTACCAACACAGGTTGTGTTTTGGAATCACGTCACAGTCGTAGAGGGTGCTTGGCAATGTTGCCAGTCTACAATTGGAGGTCACCCTCATCAGGGTTGGCCAAGCCCATATCTTGTCATCCAGAGTAAACACCTAGCTGAAGTGCTCAACACACAGAAAGTGCCTGGTGAAGGGGTGAATTGCGAACACATGTCTGATTTTGACTTCACGTTGCATCGGGAGACCCACACCTGGAGTACAAGGGCTTTAATAAGAATTTGCCCCTTTTTTGGGACTATCAGGATTGTTGAGTGTTAACTCTGCCCCGATGATGACCTAGGAATGATGCCAGCGGTTCCATTAATCTCATGCCTAGAAGTATCAACAGAGGGTGTTGCAGGGGTGGGGGTGAAAGATTGGCCACTCCGGCAGGTGCCATATGAAGGCAGGCCTTCCCCTGGAAGCACAGTCATACAAAGACACAAAAGATTGAGGATGTTTAGGGGTAGGAAATAGGCTATTCCTGAGTTCTTGGGAATGAGTAATGATAAAGCTGAAATCACTTGAACAAAGCCAGCTTAAGAATTCAGATTTCCCTACTGTGCCTAGCACTCATTCCACCAAACCATACTGAAAGACAAGACAGAACACAGAGAGAAGCAGCTAGAGTGCCTGGCTTGGCAGTCTGAGAACACAGTACTACTGAGGAGGGAACCAGGAACCTTGAGTAGAAGGAGGTACAGAAACTGAGAGACTTTGTTTCGGAAATGTTGTTTTACCCAATGGTGAAATATACGAGGGAAGATGCCCTATTTCTAAATGTCTTCAAATCTCCTACAGAATAATATAAAATACAATATTAAACAAAACCCTTAAGGTAAAGCAGTATGCTTTTTTGGCATAGTTCAAAGACCTGAGAAATGAAAAAGCACCAACAGCAAATTTCATCCATATAAATGTATGTGCAGGTGTGCACATATGTACACATTTATTTTCACTGATTTATTCTAAATGAGCCCTTTAAGTGAAAAGCAGCAAAGCCCTGAAACAAGAACACATGGGTACTGCAGCTGCAAGGAGCACACATGCCCACACCACTTCCACCTACGCCATGGCAGAGAAGTGCGCTCTGCTAGACAGAGGAAGACCCCACCCCAGTTCTACTAAGAAGCCATCACTCTGAAAGTAAGGCCTTTTAAACATTTCTACTATGGCTGACAGTATCAGCAAAGCACTAAAATTTGCCTGTTTGAAGAGAAAGACATCTCCCCAACATAAAAAATTAGTAATAATTTATTGTAAAACATTTATCTTTGTTATATTTGTACAGGTTTCACATTTCATATACAGAAATTGAAGTTGAAAAGACAGGAGGGCCGGGCGCAGTGGCTCATGTCTGCAATCCTAACACTTTTGGGAGGCTGAGGTGGGTGGATCACCTGAGGTCAGGAAATCGAGATCAGCCTGGCCAACATGGTAAAACTCCATCTCTACTGAAAATACAAAAATTAGCTGGGCGTGGTGGCAGGCACCTGTAATCCCAGCTACTCGGGAGGCTGAGGCAGGAGGATCACTTGAAGCAGGAAGGCAGAGGGTGCAGTGAGCTGAGATCACAACGCTGCACTCCACCCTGAGCAACAAGAGCGAAACTCTGTCTCAAAAAAAGAGAAAGAAGAAAAGACAAGACAAGACGAGGAAAGTATAACAGGTAAAACTACAGGAAAAAAAATTCAAAAAGACTGAGAATGTGTAGTGAAAAAATACATGTTTTATAATGATAAAGGGAATAGGAAATTAAAAGAGAAAAATCTCAAATGATTTGACTATATTTTCCATCTGATTTCAATTCAAGGTACTCGAGGAAGCCACAGTCCTATGTTCAAATGCTAAGGACCAGAATGCAGGATCCTGCCCTGCTCAGAGCCTGACCTACGTAACAGCTATTGCCTGTATTGGTAATATTCTGCAAGTATTACTTGCTCTAACTACCAGAGCCTGGCTTTTCACCATAGAGAATAGAGTCCAGTATAGAGAAGCTCTGAAACCTGGCCTTGAATTGGGTGAATGTCAACTAAGTTGCAGCTTGTCAAACTCCAAATTAGTTCACCATATTTTGAGAAACTGCATTGCGTTATATAGAATTACAGATGTGCACCCGTAACAACCAATTTAAAAATCAACAAGTCTAAGGCTTGCCACGGTGGCTTGTGCCTAAAATCCCGGCAATTTGGGAGGCTGAGGCAGGGGGATGGGCAAAGCCAGGAGTTTGAGACCAGCCTGGGCAACATGGTGAAACCCCATTCCTATGAAAAATACAAAAATTTAGCTAGTCCTGGCAGTGCACATCTATAGTCTCAGCTACTCCAGAGGCTGAGGTGGGAGGATCATCTGATTCCGGGAGGTTCAGGCTGCAATGAGCTGTGATCACAGTACTGCACCTCCAGCCTGCTGGGTGACAGAGTAAAACCCAATCTCAAAAAAAACAAGTCTAAAGCTTTTACAACTTATATCAGCATACATTTTCCAAAGTCTCGGATACAACAATGAGTATTAATATCTCTTTGAGGCCCCAGGATCTTGCCAGCATGTAATAACTTCAAGGTTCCTAAGCATACATACTGGAGAAGCCAAGAAGAATTTGGGACTCATTTTTAGTCAGGCATGGTGGCAGGCGCCTGTAATCCCAGGTACCCGGGAGGCTGAGGCAGGAGAATTGCTTGAACCCAGGAGGCAGAGGTTGCAGTGAGCCAAGATGGCACCATTGCACTCCAGCCTGGGCAACAAGTGTGAAACTCCATGTTAAAAAAACCAAGAAAACAACAAAACAAAGCAAAAAAAACCCAAAGACTCATTTTTTCCCCAAAAAAAAATTTATTAAGTGAACAACACAAAATGTTGCTGTTTTTAAAAGTCCCCAAAAGGTAAAAAAACCGGGTGATAATTTTAATGTGAACATTTATGGAAAGCCTGTCATGTATAGAGCAAAAAAAAAGAACAGGGAGATTCAAACAGGAGCCACACCGCAAAGCACCGTCAGGGCAGGCAAACTACCCTGACACAAAGTGAGATAGGTCCACGAAGCACACAATTCTGCACGGGAGTTGAATATGGCTTTCTCCAAGATAACATGTGACCAATGTGACAACAGAAAATGCTCAGAGGGCCTGCTACATGCGCACTGCGCTATGGATGGTGGCAGGGTGGAGGGTAGAGAACAGAATATCTGAAAAAAAAATGGTAGCTGCTATAAATAGTAATAACATATGCTAGACACTTTCCATCTAACTTTCACTACAACTTTACAACAGACATTACTCCTAGTTTTACTACAAGGAAATTGAGGAAGTTATAAAAAAACTTTGAGCCTGACGGTCATCCACATAACCCAGCAGGAGGCTGAGATGGGATCTGAAAAAAAAACTGACTTCAAAGCTAGCACTACAACTATTTAGACGAGAACGTGCTAGACAGGTGTGGTGACGCACACCTGTACTCCCAGCTACTCAGGAGGCTGAGGCAGGAGAGTCCAGGAATTCCAGGCTGCAGTGACCTGTGATCATGCCACTGCACTCCAGCCTGAGTAACAAAGCAAGAAAAAAAATAAAAAATTAAAAAATAACAACTATATAAAATGGTAAACTAAGGTATTAAATAGCATACTTTAAATGTACAAATTTGTAGAATAAGGAGAGCTACGTGTAATCAAGGAAGATTATAAAAAAATAAAATTGTAGCCACAAATGTAGAACAAGTTTTTAAAAACAAAAATAACTTCCTAAAAAAAAGATGTAACTAAATTGATTTTCTCCCAGATACACCTTCAAAAGAAAGTTAAAAGAAGATTAGCAATAAAACAAGTTGACAGTAATATACTTAGAACAAATTAAAAATCGAGAGTTAAAAAAAATATCCTGAATTGAAGATAAGAGCTGTTAATGTTCAGAATGACAACGCCAAGGACCTTCCAACATCTGAAGCCAAATAAAAAAAGTTAACTCTTATAAAATACTTTGCAAAGGTTTACAATATATACATCTTTTCCCAAGAAAATAATTTCTTTTTTTAAAAACTAATCTCACAACTTTCCAATTAGTTTTTTTCTGTACACCTTTTAACAAACAGTAAAGGTATCAGTGCTCTCCTCCCTATGAAAACGGTAAGCTAATTATGGAAGTCAATTGACTAGTTCTGACTAGAAGTAAACAAAAAAAAAAAAATGACATCTTTTAAACAGCTCAAGTGATCCACAGACAGACAGCATGAGTGTTTAACACTTGGGGACTAACACACAGAACCTCTTTCTGGGGTTCCCAGGAAGCTTCCCTCTACCCACCTCTGCCTAACTCTGCCTAGCTCCTAACTCTGAGTTCAATCAAAAAGAAAGTGGAAAAAAATTTTTCCAATAGAAACAGTATTACAAGCGTTGGCTAGATGTGAGTGAAATAGTATTATTATTAGAAGTAGAATTTGGTTTTGTTACAAATGGTTGGGTTCTTACAGTTGATCTAAAAAAAAAAACTGG